CCCCCCCCTCGCCCCCTTCCTCCACCCGTGTCTCAATAGAAACGAGTGACTGTTTGGTTAGAAACTCACCTTTGAAGTTTCACTCTTCGCTTTGTTAGTGTCCTCTTTCTCCAGCCCCTCTGATGCTTAATGTGTTTTCCACTTTATGATTGCCCAAAGCTAGAGATGGATAGGTGTTGGCATGCCTGATCACATCTGGTGGACTGCAAGAATGACGAGAGGACTCCATCTTCCTTCTCCTACCCCAGCCTGTTGTCTTTTGATAAGGACCAGGTACAATCATGCTACAGACGGAACTGCTGTCCGTATCGTTTACTTCTCTGGATTGCTGCTGCCCTCTCCTGCTCACTTGCCATGACTGTCATAGCACGTGTAGTTTTTGATGTCTTGCACCAAAGGCCTTGTGTTCTGATGTGTTGTGGGAGATATTCTCAGCAGATTCCTTTAAGATCAAACTTTTATTAGATGCTTGCTTGTGATGTGAATTTAACTTAATGTTAATAACTCAGTAGTTTGAAAGAAATAGGAGTAGATGGAAAGTCTCAGGAACCGATTGCAAGTGCCCGTCCCCACAGTCTCACCCACCCTGCAGCTGCGTGTGTGTGCGTGAGCACGGCTGTGCCACAGCACAGCGGGTAGCTGTATTCCTGTATCCGATGGAGTGAAACGCCATGGGTTTCTAGGGCTGGGCACCATGCAGAATTAGTTATATCCAGGATGGTGCTGCCGTCTTTGCTTGGCACCCCTCTGTATTTGCTTCAGAGAGCTGTAAGCGATGGGGAGCGTATCAGAAGAGATGTAGCCGGTCAGCACTGAAGCAGCTGCCACTGCTCTGCCCGAGCTGCTGCAAACGGACTTACGCCGGCGTGACTTGCAAGGCCGCGGCACGTCTGTGTTGGCTGTTTGTACTGGGGCAAACCTGCGTGTACCTGTTACAGCCCTGCGCCTCGCAATCGTGGGGCTTGAAACCACCAGGTTTCTGATGCAACACTTGTTGGGTGAAGCCATTTCCTGTGCATAACCTGTATAATTAAGTTTATTAAGAATTCTGGCACCCTGCCAAACAGATGTATGTGTGTTACGAGGCACAAGGAAAGTGCTAGACTGAAGCCTGAGGACACAGGTGGAATTGAGGCAGGGCCAGCTTTAAGGCGTGCTAAGAAGACGATACACAATTGTTCAGCTGCCACTGCGTTCCTAGGCAGGACTGCGCGTATGGTTTCTGCCCAGCCTGCGCGCTCGCAGCATTCCCGGCCGGTGAGGTCCCGGGGCTCTTCTTGCTGTGGCTGTACTCGACCAGGCAGTCAGGGAGCATGGGAAGCCACCGTGCCTGCCCCCGAGGGTTTTTGCCAGGCTCCGTGTAACTGCCCGGGGGTGGCACATCTCCTGGAGCAGAACGAGTGGCTGGGCCACCATCAGGGCCAGTCCCAAGGGCTGGGACCACCAGCTGGTGGGGCCATGCGAGCCCAGCAGCGGGACATGGGCCACGGGGCAGGAATTGCTGCTCTTCGTTCTCTCAGAAAACACGTGATGGTTTCAAGTCCTGAAGACCACAATTCCCCTTCTCTTTAGAGGGACCAGACAAGGGGTGGTGTTCCTCCTAGAACCCTTTAATTTCTAGTGACCAGTTCTTTGTGATTTCTGATGCGCTCAACCTAGAGTGTAGCAGCTGCAATACAATGGCTTATCCAGAAGTACAGATCTACTCTTTCTTTTACAAGTAGTGGTAAGCTTCTACAATGTTTGTTCTTTTGAAAACATAAACCTTTATTTCAAAACAAGGATAAAAGTAAAAATGTGTTCTGATTTGTGATGAAAGTTCCTCTTCTCTCTTTAGATATGCTCAGCTGCTACTGTAACAGAAAACATCACAGGCAGGAGAGAAATTCCGGCTCTAGCAAGAAATTTCATGTATTCTTGAAATAAACTTTTACTGAGGCAAAATCATTTGCAAGAACAGATCATCTCCTCAATCAATTTTCTAATGTTTTATAACATAAGGAACACTGTTCTCACTTCCAAACCCAGGTACAGCTGTTATGCAGTATGCATTGATAAACTGTGCATTCTTTCTTGTAAGTATCAACAATTATGAAAGCTTTTACTTGTCTCAACAATAGTAATTGAAGTAAGATTTGCATGGCAGATTGGTAGAATTAGCATGAATGAAGATAAGCTCTTGGATGTAGTGACAGGCACTTCTGTGTATTGATAAGAGAAAACATCCCTACTAATGGTCGACAGCATCCAGAAGTCAGTCAGGAGGTAAACGAATTGGGACTGCAGAAGCTTCTCTAGACTGTGACCATGAACTATCACCTTGTATATTCCTGTTTTTTTCACCAATTGATGATGCTCGTGTGGCAGGGATTTCTCTGAGCATGTTTACAAACAGCACCTAGATGAAACTGAACCTTCTGGCTGCACTGGCGGAAATGTATAAATTGTGTCATTCCCAGGATGCCTTGCTAAGAGCAGTAAAGTTCTTTCTAAACAACTTGCATGTGGTAAAAATCAGAAATGTTGCAGTCTCAGATACTGCGCGTGTGTGTAGCTACACATACTGGAGTTACAGTTCTCTCATTTTCCTTGTCTTCTTCAGATAAGTTCACCTTTGCTGGGAGAGTGGGAACACGAAATTAGTACTGTTATTTAGCAAGTTTTTAGGGACTGAGGGGCAGTGTCACAGATGGAGTGACTCAAAGTATCTGCCAGTTGGAGGAGGTGGAGGGTTTCTCATAGCAAGCCTTGTAGTCTCCAAAGGCTACGTCCACCTACGAAGGCAACGCATACTGCAGTGCCCTGCTGTGGCCGGCTACTTCGAACACGCTGTCCTACATCAGGGCTGCACAAGTAGCAAAAGCTTTACGTGCATGTTCCCCGAGGAATGGAATTGCTCAGCCGTTCTTCCCCTCCATCCTCTTGGTGTAACTGGCACAAATCACACGACCAGGGAGGTAGCTGTGATCACAGATGGAAACCTGCCCCCTTACAACACAAAGCACGTACACCTTTCCAAGCAACAGCCTACACTCTGTTCCTGGCTTGGCTCCTGAGAAGACGGACGAAATCAGGGGTTTGCTGCAAGTCCAGTGCAGTATGAAGTGAAAACAGAGCACATCACATATATTTTCTTTATTGCTGGACTTTTTTTCTTTTTTTTTTTTTCAGTAAGTAGGCATGATTCCTTAAAGGCTGAGGTTTTTAATAACAGGTTTTGTTTTTTTTTTTTTGCAGTGGACAAAGAGATACCTTTGATCAAATTTTTGCCTTATATTACAGTATTTCTGTACAAAAATAAAAGTCCAAAATCAGCTTATTATTAGCTGATGTTCCCCAATTTATTTACAAGGTACTGTCAAGAACCTTCATCAGGCAACCAGGTAAAATAGAGAACTTTATATTAAAGCAGTTGCATTGTATAACTTTATGTTCTCTAGTCAACTCTGAAGGGCTCTGACCTTTTTGGCAGTCAGTCTGGGTTGGAGAGTCCAGCCAGAATTATAAAAGGGAGATGTCTTCAAAAGAAAAAACTTAATATTAAAAACTTAAGCTGACATTATGGAGTACTGAACTGATAATTGTATTTCCATATTAGGATAGTCTATAAATATTCTCAGCTACATCTCTCTTTATAACACAGCAGATACAGAATGCTGACTTCTGCTACTTATGTGGTAATACATATTTGCAATAGTAAAATCAATGTATGAAAATTTTGGAATTTACTTGTTAATAAAACTGCTTATAAAGTAACCATACAATTGTAACAACTATAACTCTGAACTATTAAAATGTACAGAAAGACTGTTTACACCATTGCACATACTTATTCCCTTTGCTTCAAGAGACTTGTGAAATACAGAATAAAATTAGTCAAATTTTAGTGACAGCTCAAATACGCGTGCACATCCATGGAAGCAAGGGGGAACAAAATGTTGGCGTCCACAGGAGGGCTGCCAGCAGCTCTCCAAAAAAATATACCTTGCTCTTCTTCCCTCCCCTTTCCCACATGTATGTGGGCCAGTAGAATAGTGCAGAATGGATGAACATAACTGTTTTCAGTGTTCTGTAAGGACAAAAAAAATCCTCTTGACTTTTATCAGCAATTTTACGTCAATACAAGTTGGGTTTAATATTGTAAGGCACTTATTACTGCTTGTATTGCAGTGGATCAAGTCTTAAGGCATTTGTTACATCAACTGAAAATAATAGTGCTTTGGAAAGTTTTGAAGGAGCCAGCAGTTCTAGTATGTGACTATTTCAGCTGATTTTCCCCTCCCCACCCTGTGGTCTTTCTACAACAATGCTTGAAGATATTTTCCGTGGAAACTCTTGTTCTTCGTTAGCTTGTCAACAGACGTGATCAGTATCATCAGGTCGTTTTGAGGCCAAGCAGTGATACGTTCTATTTAGAGCACAGTAGAACTGGTTCTGTTTTCACCTGGAGCTGCCCTGACTTCCATGACTGCTCACTGATCGAGAGGTGCTGTAGCGTTTTTTCACGATCATGCTGATGTAGGCTTTCATCAGCTTTGCAATGTCAACCACCTGCCAGAAGAGTATAAAGAGCAAAGTTCTTAGCAAGGTAACAGTATGTGAATGAGTTTCTTTAAACGCTAACAACATGAAACTGTCGGGCTTTCAACAAAACCCTTTTGCGGTTAAACAAATAAAACACTTCTACCCAACTCACTATGTCTTCCCTTTAGCTTTACAGGGATCTTGAATAAATCTGTAACATTTGCAGCAATTACTTAAATTACTAAGTAGCCTGGCTATCAGAACAGGAAGACCACAATAAAAAAAAAAAAAAAAATCCTTCTTGCTCTTACCTCACTGGTTTCAAAAAGCAGTTCTCTCTCATCTACCACGATCTTGTAGGTGTTGGCAAGCGGTGCACCAAATGACAAGATATGTTCATACTGAAACACCTCCAGAGGCCTTCCTTCCCCACGCTTGTAGACAGAAACTGCATCAGCGCTGACTCCAAGCCACAACTCTTGTGGGAATCCCCCTTCTTTACACTAGAGGAAAAAAACGTAGATAACAGCAAAAGGAACACAACACTTACTGCTGAGGTTCTTGTCTGTAATCGTTTTTTAAAAAGTGTGTATCGCTTGTCCCTCTTTGAACGTAGCCTTGTACACTTCTCCTAAACTTGTCTGCAACCCATCAGGCTAGCATTCCGTCCCTCTGTATTTTACGGTTAACTAGTGGATATAAATGGCTACAGTGCTTGCTAACAGAAGAATGCTTTCAATAGCTAACACTTTATTACATCAGCTGTCTGAGCATTGTGGTACTGTATTTATGGTTTCCCTACTCTGTAGTGAAACCACCATCTGTACAGTATAAACTGTAGCCTGAGTGTTCAGGAGGTTGTACTCACCTCTACGTCAAAGAGTGTTGAGCCGTAGCCAGGCCATTCCTTAATCAAAGCCATATACTTTGCCATAGCCTGCTCCTGGCTCATCCTCTGGAGTTTTTTCCATTTGTCAATAATACTTGTCCTGGAAGCTGAGATTTCCTCTTTGACCCACATGTCTAACATCTGATCCTCCTCAACCTTCTGTTTGCTGACAGAGCCACTGCGAAAGCTCCTCCGCAATGTTCCTTCAAGGAAGCTGGCTCGTTTCTTCTCAGCCTTCTCTGCTGCAGTAAATGTTTTGGTGGACTGTGTAATCCGAGACTTCAGCTTTTGCAAGGGATAGACTTCCTCCATTTCTGGTACGGTGGTATGCGGAGTGTAATCTCCCTGAAGGTACTGAAGACGCAAAGCTGCGAGGACCTGGAGGGTTTCTTCAGGAGCAGGATAATGTCCTCTAATCACTGCTTCATGAGCCTATCGAGGGGAAAAAGGTAACTTTTTATATACAAACCAGTCTTTGAAAGGACTAAGAGAGAAATGGGAAGTAGATTTACTGCCAGGCAAACCAAGATCTGAAATAAATGATCCATTGAAGAAATCAAATGCGGTAAATCTCTTGGCAAATTCGTTAAACTGGGTAGGACAGGGTTTACCTGCAAGGCAGCTGCGGAGCTTGCCAAACGGGAATTAGCATTACTAGTACAGCTTTTAGCAAACTCACATACACAAGAGCAACTGAATTACTAAAAAGGAAAATAAAGCATAAAGGGGAGAAAATCAGGATCTAAACACCTGGTTGGGAGGAAGCCATCTATGTTCTAAGGCATCAGGAAGAAACGGATATCTAGTTTTACTTACTGCTGTCAATCATCTGGCTGTGAATACTGACATTTCCAGCCAAACAAGCAAAGCCCTAGGACAACTTTGTAATAAACCTCACTGAAGGAAAACAGTAAATCTTCAATGAATCCCCGATAGAGTTAGTAAAACGTTTATATGTTATAGTGGTCTGTAGCATCAGGGATGAGATTCTGAACCAAGAACTCTTTCAAATCCCTGCTCTTTGCACACCCATTCAAACCTGTGGAAATGTGCAGCAGCTAGCAATTTTTTTTTTTTTCATATGACACTAGTACAGGAAACAAACACACCTCATGTCTGGAGATGCAGGAATTGCAAGCAGTTTAGTAAACACGCAGAGACAATTCACATCTAAGTAACAGCTAGTTCATTTAGGTGTACGCTTGGGATGGAGACAAAAACATGCCTTTAAACATGCAAGATGGTATGCCTGAGATTGTGCACCTGCAGAAGAAAGAGCTGGCTTGTGGAAATGGAAGTACAGTATTTTAATGAGAAAGAAGAATGCAAATATTTTCTTCAGCACCTTATGAATTAAAGGATTCAGATTTTAAATAACGGAGGTTACAGAACTAAAACTGATGACAAAAGGGAACTTTCTTAATTGGGTGAAAAAAGTTGATGACCAACATCAAAAGCAAAGAATTAGAAAAAAAGAACAGAACTGATGTTAGAATGTAATGTCACCTCTTTAAAGTATTGCTGTAATATTAATTGTAGGGATTGAATGTGCCGTGCTTTATAGCTAAGTACTATTGGTCTTGGCAAGACATAAAATATTTGGCTAAACACCAGTGAGCACAGAAGGCTGCATGAAAACCATCTGCTTCGGTGAATGTGCTTTAGTTTTTCATACAGAAAACTATCTAAATTTGCCTCTTAAACCAATAATGTAATGTAAGATAACTGATGAAGAGCTCTTACGGATTTTCTTCTTACTATTTAAGCTTCATCCAAAAGCAGAGGCATTAACTGGCTGACTCTGTATGAAAAACCAAACAGACAGTCCGAATGGCAACGTTTCTAAGCCCAAACAAGGCCATCTATTGCCCAGATCCTTCAGCCAGCAATAAGCAGTTCTGGACTGAGCTACAGCAGTAGGCCCTGGAAGGAGACGTTTGGGAGACTCATGATGCAATATGGCACCTTAAAACCTAAACTGTGAACAAGGAATAAATGCTCCATTACAGTTAAGATGTTTCTGATCCTGTGGAAGGGGAAAAAGCTTCATACATAGGAAAACCGAAATATATCAGTTCTTGATCACATCAGGCTTGCTTACCAACAGAATGTTAGTGTCTTGGCACTGCAAATAGCCTTACACAGAAATCTTTGTACATCTCTAGTGCCCACTGGAAAGAAGCTATCCACTGGAAAATTTTGAGTCATTTGCAATATAGTAGAAAAGGAGAAGGTCGATCAAAAATAACAAATGAGCAACTACAGGACTTCATATAATAGAAATCCCACTGCTGACACATTTACTTTTGATTATAAATCAGTTTCATTTATTTTATGTTTTGCCATTTGCTCATTCTGAGCTCAGCACATTCATTAAGTGGACTTCTGCTCATCATAGCTGTCTTACGGGTACTGCTGAGACTGGACTGACTTGCTTTACTCTGGTGCCTATTAAATACCTATCAGTTTTTGAAAGGAGAAAAAGCCATTGTTTAATTACTTCTATACAGTTGCCAACATGGGTCTTTAATAATTAATTTGCTTGCCAGTTACCTATTTTTCACTTTCTTAAGAAAATGCTTTCATAAGAGCAGAATTAAAAGCAAATATTATCCTTTTCTTTTTTCTCCAGCTTAGACTCAGTTATCCTTTTTTTTTTTACCACTATACATAAAGCAATTCCCAAATAATGCAGAAGTAAGAAAAGTTGTAACACTAGGTAAATCATATGTGCTTCACTTATGTCAGGATAAGCCTATTTTGAGCGCTGAACTGCTTTCTTTGCACTTGATGCTTGAGTAGTAGTGCATTTAGTTAAACAGAAGCATAATCAAAATTCTCTGTTGGCTAGATCTCTCGCTTTTTTTCCTCCTCTTAAAAGTGCCTCAAAACAGAACCTTTGTCCTTTACCTGCTCAAACATAAAGGCAAATTCCACGCTATCTTTTGGGACGTTTTCTGTGTCCAAGAAGCAGTAGAGCTTGAAGTAGAACTTCCAGTGCATCTCTCCAGCTTCAGCAGTGGCAGCAAGCCTGCATGGGTGTATGAAAAGGGAGAGAGAGATCAGATCTAAATTGACACCAGAAAAATCTAAGCAAGGCATCAGCTGAATTTTGCTTTGTTACACCTGCTATTAATCTGGTATTGTTGACAGGAGCTAATTGTGTTCAGCAGTGTACCTGACTGATGGCATCTGGAGATAGATATAGAGAGAGGGGGGTGTGTGTATTTAGAGCCTACAGCAAAATCAAGGACTAACAAATGTTGACTCAGTTCTCAGTCAACTGCTTCTAAGCCAAATTCTCTCAATAAACTTTTATCTGTGGCTCAGTCAGGTGCTGATAAAAAAACCATTATTAAGTCCTGGTACAAAATGTAATTGGATGACACTTTAGAGATTCCTTTTTGCTCCCAGTTATTATGTGGAGTAAAGAGGCTGATTGCCATGCATCTAACATAAGGATGACAAACAGGTATTTAGGCTTGTGTTACATTTTCTTACTACAGTGCTATGGGTGGTTTTATTTTACTGGTAAGAAAAACGTTGTGAGCTGCACTGTGGTGACTCCCACATGAAGTCAAGCAACAGGTCATCAGAATGGCAATGACTGCCTGGAGTTCAGTCACCCCAGTACTGAGGCGGCCGTAATGCTAGTAATGGTGGAAAAATCTGTAGTAGCGGAAAAGAAATTGTGGAAATAGTGATGAAAAATATTACTCTACTGGTGTCAATACAGAGGAAAATCAAACACAAGTGAATACGTGGCTCATTAGTTCCTTTGAGCAAAAAAAAAAAAAGATGCTTTTGTTCCAGAAATGGCCATGTGTGTAATTCGGCTGCGTCATCACAAACAAGGAAGAGAAAGAGAAAATTCAGCATTATTGACATTGTAAATTTATTTAATTGCTACTTATTAGAGTGGTGAGAGAGAAGGAGAGGCGCACTCACTTTTCAAACTTTGCCAAGACATCAGCCACAATGGTTCTGCTTTCGATTGCTTTATCAGTAGTTCCATTGTATTCAAACAAAGCAAACATATTTCTGCTATCCTCCATGGCCAAGCCACGAATTAACTTTTCAACCACCTAATGAAAAACAGCACATGAAAAAACCATCGCATGAAAAAGCAGCACCACAGAATACAACAAATAATTAAAAGAAAATTCAGAGCTAGGTTTTACAATGAACTAAAAACGTTGCTAACATGTTCTCATCAGCAGTGTTAATTGTTGCCAAATTCCACCTCAATTTCTATACTAAATAATGCTGATTCTTTTAGAATATGTGTGTGCTATTACCTGGCAAGATATAACCCCTGTATTTCACCAACTTGGCAAGAGTCTAACAGCTTTAGGAAGCAACTTGGTTCTCAAAACCACCAGTATCTACTGAAGTTATTCTAATAGTGTCTCTACTGAATTTTTTAGTCTTTAGTCTTTTTAGTCCTGTAATTTTTCCTGTAAGAGGGAACTATAGTTGGGTAATCCTCTAAAGAATAAAGACAGCTTTTGTAGCAGGGATTTCTTCAGAACACGCTGGCAGGTTGGGGGACAGCTCTGTAAGCTTTTCCTCCCCTGAAAGGAGAGACTGGTAGGGAAACCCCCAGTGCTTTCAAAGTTTAATGCTGCTACTGGCTGGAACTGGCACGTAAAGGGACACACTGATTTTGTGCCAAAGCTGTTCTGTCACCACTCCTCACCTCTCCAGCTGTAGTGTGCGAGTTGATTGTAATCTTACAGGAGCCCCCACCATGGCAATAAACTGTGGATGTCATTTCCTGCCTGCCGATCAGAGCTTCTATTTCATCCCGCGATGGCACAAACTCTCTGGATTTGGTTTTCTTCAGCGACTCGTAAGTAAAAAGTGCATATTTCTCCATTTCAGTTCCTGGAAACTGGTCGCGAACCCTGTGAGATAAATATTATTACTTCGAGCTGCCAGACTGTGAAATAGAAAGTTTACTTATCTGAGAATGGATTTTTTTTTCCTGAAAGTATTTATGTATCTAGTAAGCTACTTAACTGACATGCTCAAAGGTTTATCTTCACTGTCAAGGAAAGTGTACTAACTGGTGATTTACTGTGGGACAACTTATATGAATTCATCATTTTGTTCTACAAACTGAACTGAAAGCAAAAACTGAACTACCTTTATAGCATTAACTACCAGAACCTTGTCATGACTCAGCAAGACAACTATAAAAATCTTCCTGTAATCAACTCCCCTTTTTGTTGAATGAAGACAAAACTGCACTAAGGTACTTCAGAAACAAAGCAATAAAACATATTTTTGACTGCTCAGTTTTGTGATAGTGTCACTTAGGATACTTGATTTGTATTCCTGATTTTCTTGGAGATTCTCTCTAGACCTTACTGTTCAGCAGTTAGTATTACGAGTACTCGCTAACAACTTTGATGAACTCAACTCTTAATTATTGAAAACCCTTGAATTTAGGCAGCTTTCAGCACAAAGTGTTTCTATAATATTTCCACTGATAAAGCAGCAGCTTCTTAGAGCTACTGAGGCTCAATTTATGTGAAGTACAGTGATTTGTCATCTACAAGGCATGAAAAGATTACTGCAGGATTACAGCAATGCTGTAAGATGACTATGCATCTGTAATGAAACCAACCTACAAATGTTGTATCAGCTGAATTTTTTTTTTAACTGGGACACCAGTTTATGAACTGAGTTAAATTGAGAAAGTGAATCAATGTTGGATGTTTTCATTTTAACAGTTATATAAAGTGATTGATGTGTTTTGCTAGTCTTAGTTTGATTGAAAGGTCTATCTTCAATAGAAGCATTTTGAAAATATTTATCAAATAATTACATTTAGCAAAGTAATTTACAAAGTTCATGCTCTAGCACAAACACAGACATGACTTTTAAATTACTGAGAACAGTTTGTTGTTAGTGGACTAACTTTCCTAATGACACGATCTTTGCATTCTTCTGCTGCTTCACGGCAAGAGGAACTCTACATTCTGGTTAGTGCTAGACTGTCAAAAAGCATTTATATATGTTTTTAATGGTCACTAATGTCTTAAAATTAGATTTGCAAACAGACATTTCTACCTCAAATATATCTTTAAACATGCTAATGTTCTTTTATGTGCATGATGTGTACCTCACAAAACTAAGGTAAGCAGGACGAACAATTTTTAACAGGTTGGGCAGTTGAGAATGAGACTTAGGGGTGCTGGCTGCAAGTCTCTTAAGCAACTTTATAGAATTACAGAAAGCTCCCCCGTTGGTCAATGTTAACAAATTATGCATTCAGTTTAGTGGGATTTTGCTTGATTCTTCAAGTGAGAATAATTCCACGTAGATCAACCCATATGTGCTTTTCTTACAACATTGTTTTTTTTTAATTCATTGTTTGGCGTAACCAGTTCACTAAGCGAATGCATCTTCAGGTCTCACTTCAAGATGTTTAAACACTATTACAACTTGTGGGGAAGAAAACAGTGAGTGAAGAAACTTATTTTCTTGTTCTAGTAGTTCAAAGCTTCTCACCTTTTGAGATGGAACTTAAGATATCTGAGGATGCTGCGACTTGGCAGAAACGTGCAACTCATGCAGGTGAGTATTTGCCAACTATACAGGTTCCCCGCGCTCCCAGGGTTAGGCACTTTATTGGTCTGCTTGATGAGCTGACAGTAGAGCTCATCTCGAAGAGGTCGTAAATCATGTCCTGTTTGGAGGATACCTTGGATTATAGGGATGGGATCAGACATAGACTCCAGCTGCTGTAAAGAATTAAATATCTTGATGGCTTCATCCTGCAGAGTTGTGTAGCCCTTGTCCTGCAGCACTACAAAAGAAAAGCAGGGAGGAAGGTGCTTAGACTGAGATATGAAAGAGAAAGCACTCAGGCTTAACAGAGAAATTGCTTAACGCCATTCTGTGACGCTTATTATGCAGGGTATTAGCAGCTGCTGCAGCTCACCTCAGGAGGTAGGAAGCAACACTAAATTGAGGGGAATATGATTCAAGGAGACTGAATGAATTTGGTTTAGTTGGTTATTTCAGTGCAAAGTTTTTCTAACTTGGTGGTCTTAGCTATGTTAGTGAGGGCAACAAACACGTATTACAGCAACCTTCCCTTCCGTAACACCCACGCAGAAGCACCAACCAGAAGCCCATGGCTCTATGCTAGACAAACTGCTATTCTCTACTTCTTGAAAGAGAACAGCGAAACGTGTCTATTTGTATTAAAAAAAAGTATTTTGCCTACCATTACTTCACTATGGCCCATTGACTAAAAACTCCCATCCTGTGGCTTAGACTTTCATAAAGAAAACTGTTTCTATGACTGAAAAACTTACAGTTTAGATTGATGTCCCCGTACGGCAGTGGCAGTAATGGCGAGTGCAACGGATGATGAGTGTAACGCAGAATGGGGTTTCTCTTATAAATCTGTTCAACCACGTCAGCATTCAGGCAGTTTTCCTATTAGGGTAAGAAAAAAGCAGGATTTGTAGCCCAGCATTAACAGTAATGCAATGCTTTGTGCCTTTAGGTTGGCTGTGAAAAAATTAGTCATTAGTGTTATTAATGCTATTTGGTGCTAAATCCAGTTGTGGGCACTGTGGCTCCCATGGCACTCTGCAGGCTATGAATGCTCAGTAGGAGCTAACCTCAGGTCTTGCATAAGCTTACTTTATCTGCTCAGTAAAAAACAAACCACAGCAGAGCTGAAGGAGACAAAAGTGAAGTTTCATGAAATTTTTTTGAAGTGTGTTTTCATTTTACAACCGTTTTTACTCCCAGTATTTTGTAACTGGAATTAAGACCTCTGTATTCAAGTTTTATTTAAAAATATTTCTCCAGCACAACTAATTGCCCTTTTCAGTTAGAATCTACAGGAGTTACCATAACAAAATAGTCCAGAAAAACTGCTGCTGTAAACCTGATGCACCTACTCTGACATCTAAACACTGTTCTTTCCTAGGCCAGGTTTGACAGATGTGTGACCACTGTCTTTTATCAATCCTGAACTTCCACATATTTCTACTGCTCTGAAGAACAGCCTTCATAGTCTTGAAATTTAGGACTGTGTACTTTTTTTGGTCTATTCTGAGTATCATCATCCTCTCTTTTGCAGATTAGCAAAATCTGCAGAAATATATTCTCTGGCTATCCATGCAACGTCTCCAACAGGACCATAAAGCAGTAAGCATTAATTGAATATGTTTCTCATCACGCAGAGACATGAGATGTTTAGCCTGTGCTATCACAGAAAAAGAAATGAAGCATAATGAAAAAAAATGACAAGAGCAGTCTATTCCACATCCCAGTGTGCTGTTCACTGTGGACACAACCAAACAGGTCTGGTAACTCACAGACCTGCAACGCTGCGCTCTACTGCCTGGTATAATAGCAATGTCTGTGAAGCTGCACAAACCAGTAAAACTTGTTACTGTTTTCAGGGAAAAAAGTTATTGTTCTTGTCCTCCGAGTTGCACTTCATACTTTGCTTTTTTACTGTTTAGACAGAAATTCCTTCATCGGGTCAGCGAATGCATTCAGGTTCCGCCATTTCAGTCGATGTCACCATGTGATTAAAGCCCACATTGTCTGCCGTATTACCCCGTATGGCAAAGCCAACACAGAGACTGATTTCAAATACTGGAGCAACGATTCTTTGCCCTCCTGTTTGTGCCTACCTTAATATCCTGAATAAGCTGCTGAGTTGGTGTATCGATGGGCGCTTTTGTGTCAATCACGTTCTGGATGGCGCTGGACCAGCGGGTTGCCTCATTGAGCAATTTTGTGTAGAGACGGTAACAATGTTTGCGCCCGTACACAGTTACGTTCCAATAACCTAGCACAACAGTAAAAATTGTTAATCATAGGAGCTGCAGCTATAGAAATACCCCAACTTCTAAATGAAAACAGCTGTAATCCCATCAGACCTTGAGTGCTGCATTCTGGATCACACTAGCAGTTTTTCCAGAAGTACAAAGTTGTACAAGTAATTCAGTATTGTAATACAGATACTATGGTATTAAAGGAGATTCCTTCCTTTAAAAAAGCCTAGGAGTAACCTCAGAGTACAGCCACCGTCACGCAGCCTCTCAATTTTATCCAGTAATCTTAGTAAAAGTGACCATAAGACAACACTACTGAATACTGTTAGCCACTTGTGGCTCATGGGCCCTGCTTCTCCGGTCCTGCCTGCAACAGGAAAATCTGAGATAGTCTTGCTTTGTACACGAGAGTCTTTCATCGTCTGTGGCACACGTACAAACAGGTATGAAGCATGAACTACCTCTTCTGTAAAGAAGTCATTAATTTCACATCAATGAAGTGGCAACTATGACAAGAAGAGCATTTCAGTTCAAATTCTCTCTCGGCATCATTGTATAGGCTTTTCATGAAGCAGATTCAATTAAAGAAAATCTATTTCATCTTTCACTAGTGAAAGCCTTTTTGAAGTGTCAATGACCCCAACGAGATGATATAGGGCTGTCAACAGTCGTTTCTCATTTGCAGCCACTTCCGAGTCGAAAACCAGTTTTGAAAATGCACAGGGGAGCTGACTCAGATGCAGCATATAGGTTAGCACAAACTGCACTCTTGCTCTACATCTCCCTATACTTGCTCCACCAATGTTAGTCCTCACCTCATAGTTCCTCAGCACATAAAAAGATGTTTGAGGGGAGTGCCACCCATATGTCTTTCCCCAGGTGTTTGATGTGTAAGTGTTCACACTAACTTAGCAGCAGCGTGAGTTTACAATAACTTGAATGTTGGTGAGAACAAGATTTACTCCTGCATACAGTATTATCTCTGGTTTTTGCCTAGTAATTCCCTGCAAAATGCCTCAGTGATTTAGGAACTTGATTTGTTCATCAAACTGCAACCAGAATAACACATTTAAAATATTCTTATGCACTGTTTGTTGCATTACTAGGTAGTAGGACAGAAGGCAACTGAAAGCATATTTGAACAAGAGCAAACAATTACCTGTCTCTTTGAAGATTTTTTCATCAGGTGGGACCACTGAGCAGAGGCTGTTCAGGACCAACGTCCCCAATTTCAAAGCATTTTTCTCTGAACTTTTGTAGTAGTCCAAAGAATTGTGTGTCAAAACAAACCAACGCTTCTTTAGCTTCAATGATGACATCTTAGGGTTGTTCTTTACTTCCTTGTGTAGCCATCCTGTTAAAGGCACAATTTGAATCACACTTTTTTTTTTTTAACAGAGTTGGACAAAATTAGGTTGTTAAAAGTTAGTTGTATACTCAACAACAACAAAAAATATGGTGTGAATTGTTTAGTCTACATACTAAACAACTTTTGAGTAAAATTCTCAAACAAAGACATGATGAAGATACGAAAAAATTAATATGAAAACTTTTCAACTGTGGTGTTTACCTAGAAATTTTTTTTTTGTCAATTTACAAAAACACTTTTGTTATCTGTCGTGGTTTAACGCAGCTGGCCACGAAATATCAAGCAGCTGCTTCCTCACTCTCCCCCAGTCCCAAGTGATGGGGAAGAGGATTAAAGGGGAAAAGAGAAGGAAACCATGTGCTAAGAACAATATAATAACAGAAATGAAATAAAATTAGAAGTAATAATGTTAAAAATAATAATAAAATTACAATAATATATAAAAATGATAATAACATATACAAATGAGTGACGCACAGTGTAATTGCTCAGCACCCGCTCAACAATGCCCGTCCCATCCCAGCTGGCGATCCCGAAACAGAGAAGTCCCGAAACCACAATCCCGGAAGAGTGAGAGCCCCAAAGAGAGACAACTTCCCAGCCAACCTATATACTGAGCATGACATTGCATGATATGGAATATTCCATTGGCCAGTTTGGGCCTCAATCCTAAACCTAAGCTCAAATTGTAAACCAGGGGTTGTAGGTCCTTTGTCCCAGCTATGCTCACTCCTAGCTTGTTGTGCTCCTGCACACTGGCTAAACATGGGAAGCTAAAAAGTCATAGAATCATAGAATGGTTTGGGTTGGAAGGGACCTCAAAGATCATCTAGTTCCAATCTCCCTGCCATGGACAGGGACACCTTCCACTAGGTTGCTCAGAGCCTCATCCAACCTGACCTTGACATCTTAGCACCAACTATAAACATCAGTGCACTATCAACATTCTTCTCATAACAAATCCCATACTAAATCCAAAACACAGTGCTATTTTAGCTATTAAGAAGAAAACTAACTCTATCCCAGCTGAAACCAGGACATCATCATTACAGCGTTTTCTCACATGGCACAGCAGGAGTATAATTGCAGATGCATTAATCTGTGAGTAAACTCCACCGAACAGACATGAGGCTCCAACACTGCCATGCGATGCTAGTATATTACGCAGATTGTCCTGTGAGAACAACCTCTTCTGAGCTCAATGGATGTTCATTACTTTGTTACTGTCCCACTCAGTTCTTACCTCTCACAATGAATTCTTGTCCCTCCACTCTAGTGTCCCCCTTCGACCTTTGGAGCAAGGTTATCCAGTGATGCATCTCTTCAGGAGTGTCAGCATTACAGTGAAGAACACGGTTAGCAGTGATGATCACGAATGAATTGGGTCTTTGAAAAGAAATAAAGATTAAAAAAACCTTTACGATCAACATATGTACTATTTACCTTACTCACCATAAACACAAACACTGTCCATTGTTTGCATTTTCTATTCGGACACACACTGTCCACTTCTAAAGCATTTATTTCAACACTCCCAAAAAATTAAGCATTTGAAAAGACTCAATTATGTTAGATTCACACCAAAATGCTAGGGCTCTGAGTGGTGGGAAAGTTTATATTAAATTGCAACTTGTCCTATCTCAAAACGAATCTATGGTGAGAAAACCCTCCAACCTTTAATCAGTTTTGGATGTGAATCAGAACTCTATTTCAAGGTCAGATCTATTCAGAGTGTCTGCTTCAGTAGCTACATTAGCTAAAACCAACTACAACTTACAAAGGTCTACAGTGAAGCAGCATGTGAACACAGACTCTTTTATTTTTAATGCGGTGCAACCCAATTCGCAGCGAGTACAATCTATTTTTAATGAGAGTCTGGCTTTTACCCAATCCTACACCAGGACTCACTGAAGCATGAAGAACTAGCCCAAGTGAACTGTGTTGATGGATTAGAGAGGCAGGTTTTTCAGCCTACAAACACTTGCTTTAACCCTTTACCATTAATGTTTTCATCCTGGAACGCACACAGTTTGAAGAACTAGATCAGATGTAGAAAATGGGAACAATGCAGCCTGGGCCACCCCATGCACGAGAAGCTCACAGGCACAGTTTGAAGAACTAGATCAGATGTAGAAAACGGGAACAATGCAGCCTGGCCACCCCATGCACGAGAAGCTCACAGGGCTTCCTTTTACAGTTCTTGCAAGAAGGTAACTGGGTAGAAATTAGATCCAATCAAAAACTTGTTTATGGGGAGGGAGAGGTCCACCCAAATATGATACCATTCTCCAAAACCACTGCGTGCCACGTAAAAGCTAGATGGATGAAAGGATTAAAAAAAAAAAAAGTAAATAAAACGATCTGGAGGAAAAATTAGAGAACTGTGTGAAGGGAGGTTACAGTAAATCAAGTAACATGAGAAGTGTGTACGTTATCTTAAAAGTTATGTAAGTCACCTCAGCCTAAGTTAAGAGTTACCTACAGCTAGTGCTCTCCAGTGCCACAGAAGGGGGTAAGGGAGTGATCAGAATTCTGTGTTTTGGTCACACTCACTGTGGTGCTGAAGCACGACGTTATTCAGGCAGAGTGGTGGATGAGGACACAACTGGGCATGTGAACTTAACGAGAAGAATTTTGCTGACCATGTTTTAAAGCGTGTGAAGAGGAGGCAGCTTTAGATTGAGCTACATGATGCACACTAGAAAGCTGGATAATGGGATGTACAGGACAGGAGCTACAGATGAGCTGTAGCAAGAGAACTGAAACAGGAGAGTGCTAAGCTATAAACTAAGGTGGATCAAGCTATCAAACAGGAGGTTATGATCAACAGTAGCCAACCTTCCAGGCTCCCCTCTCCGCCTCCCCAGTTTAGGAAAATAATGGAAGCCTCGCTCTTGGGATTCTTTCTGAATACAGATTCAAAGGGCTTTCTGCTCAGCTTCTCTCTTTTGAGCTTGCAATAGTGGTGTCAAGATAAAAATAATCTATTGCATTTATTAGTCAAATTTGTTTCCTAATTGAAAAACCTTTCATCATGGATTTAGACTCAGAGAACTGAAAAAAAAATTACAAGAAAAAATTCGATGTGAAAAATGCTTACAGGAGAAATGCCTTTCTAACTTAAAATTTGAAAGCTCTCAAATTGTGTTGTATTGTTTAGGAAACCTGGGCTTATAATCATAGTTAATTGTGGTATCAGTGTCTTGGCAGGCCAAGGACAAACCAGTAACTTAAACCCAGCTGTTTCACACATGTGCAATGAGGAGACTGGAATAAACTCCTACAGTAGAAATAATACCTCACAGCCAGTAACTTTATAACCAGTCATAGCCTGAACCGAGATTACTTCTGATCCTCCAAAACACTGTTACTTGTTCGAGAACTAAGAATATTCTGACAGTTATTTTTATGCTGCATCGTCTTCTTTGTTACAAGACATTTTTATCCTGGGAAATAATTCTCATCCCTGTAGAATACAACATTCTTGCATGAGAAGATTAACAGAAAAACATTAAAATGAATTTCTCTGCCTACTATATTGCTAAGGACTCAAAAATATGCTGCTGTTTTTCAGGAGCATGACCTGTATAAATTAAATAAATATTTAATCATCTACTTTTGGATCACTTTAGTAGCTGAACAGTTCCTATGTGAAACAGTGTCACGGAAGTCAGTGAAGTCTTCACAAAAACCACTGCCATTCCTATTCCATGTTTTAATATGTGGTGTTCAGTACTATGAAAAGGGAGACAATAATTAATCACTCGAATGCATGGTTGGTCAGTAGAGTAGAGACTAATGTACAAAGCTTCTGATTTTGCCTGGAGAAAGTAGAAAAAGAAAGTCAGTCACCAGGCATGGTTCTGACTTACCTATCTGGATTGTCAGCAGCACAGACAGAATCAATCAGTCCTACATCGAGTGTACCCTATAAACGAATATCCGACCAGGAGAGGAGACAGACATTTAGTATTACATTACTCACAGTACTCTTCTCAGAAACAGGTGACAGGAGCAGCAGCTTTGATGCAGATTCAAGCATCAGTTTCTGTTAACCATTAAAACTGCTGAGAGGAAAACTAAGAGACTCAGACAAACAGATCCAGTAAAAATTATCTCTAGTTGAACTGGAGGCAGCTCAAAAACTGCTCTTATTTTTCTATGCTTCCAAACCCGCTTGTATTTTGCACTTAAAGGTGCCATCCCAATATAAATGGCATCCTCTCAGAACGAACTTCTGAAGCCATTAAGCAGAAGTTTTCATTCCCCTTTGCTTGATATTAAGTTCCAAATTTATTCGATTTATTCCCAATGTATATTGTACAGAACGATAAATGCAGGACCAGAGAAATCTCAAATTTTCTACTCTTGGGTTTTTAATTTACTCATAAACTGTATCTTTGCAAAACTGCAAACTGAAGCATACACCGTGGTGTGATAGGGAACTGGATCAGAAAAAAAAACCCACCCTCATAATCAACACTCATTTTTCGTCAAGGGGAATGATGGGAGAGGAATCACAAGCCAGACTCTTCTCTTGTATAGCTACAGAGTCAAGGACATGGAGCCTCTAGCCAGTGTCACACCTACCACGGCATTTAAGGAAACCTAGGTTGTGAACCTCAGAAGCTGTGGCCACCGCAGTGCTCCTTGTTTTCTAAAAATATTTGAAAAGTTCTTCAGATTTAGACTTACCACAGCATTCTGTGGATTTGCCTGCTCATCATGCATCTCTCGGATCTCTTGCTCTGTGGACGCGTGGACTTGACTCAGTACACTAAACCACTGGCTGTGGAGAGAACGGCAGCAGCGTTAAGTAAAATGTTGCTTCTGCACAAGCCTTTTGTCACCTTTGTTCTGCAGAGATCTAGCAGGTTCTACAGGTTTTTGAAATTGCTTAAGATTCCTTTTGTTAACATGCATAAAAGCAGCAAGGCTTTATGTCAGTTCAAGTCAGACTGGGTACAAACAAGCCCCTTCAGATCTCCCATCCAAGCCCATGTCATACCCTTCTTCCCAAAGACAAATACCTTGTACAAAAAGTGGCATGCCTGAAAAACCAACAGTAAGAACACTGAAACATCTGAGTGCTTGGAGAGTATTTATGACACATTCCACACATTTCATCTGGAAAAAAACGCATTACTAGCTACACACAAAGCCTTTAATGGGAAACCCAACCTTGAGATTATAAATTCTGCTGCAGTGATGGTTTGACTGGTAATAGTTTCTTACAATGATACTGCTGCAAAGACCACCCAAGTCCATCAAGTCCTCTGTAGAAGCACAACTGAGAGGGGAAAAAGAATAAAAACCCCAAGCAAATATTTCTATGTTTTTTGCTCCCTACGGAGCATTGGAAAATCCAGCTGCTGGAAGGACCAGTGAACTTGAACCAGAGCCAATTTGTGCCACTCCAGTGGCCTTATGTATATCCACAACAGGAAAACTGACAGTTTCCAGTACTTCAGCCCCTAGTGCTAAGCAGCAATTGCAGAAGGATTTAATTCCAACCACACCTTCTGCTTCTGGGAAATCTCTATCCTCCTGGCACTTGTATAGGATAAAGCTCAACTGCTCTAAGCAATCCCACTGAAATCTGCGGGCAGAGCTTGGCCTGTTCGGCAGGTTCCTGAATGCCATTCTTTGAGACATGAATTTGCCATTCTAATGAAAACCACCTGGGGCCAAGCTTTCAAAGGGCTCGGAAGCCCAGTCATTAAAACAGACTCCTCACTTTTCTGCAGAGGCTCCTCCACCGCCACCAGGTTGAGGAAACAAATGCAAAACTCCTCACTCAAATGTAAGGCTATCTTTTCTGTAATCGCGTATAGTCACGGAATTCACGCCTATGACACTCAAGTGCTGCCTCCTTAACTCCAGCATTCAGAAGCCAACTGTTCCCCACAACGCAGATATTTGGAAACCAAACTGCCTAAATAGCTTGAGAAAACCTGTGTCAAACAGTACCATCGCTGCCATGTCCTAAATCTTTTCTAGCAGCTTATGCTTTCATTAGAAACAATGCAAGGCATGAAGAAAAACAAAGATTTAGAATGCCTGACAATACAGAAGATGAGAACATATTTAGTTCTGATTCCTTTGTTAAGACTCAGAGACACCCACAGAGAGGTTGTGCTTAACACTTACTTTGCTGGATGTGAGACAAGGTCACTGAAAACCCCTCAAAATAAGAGAAGAGTCATCTAAAGAGAAGGAACCATCAGCTGAAGAAAACTAAACCTCATTTACCAAAAGATTCCCACAAATTAAATTGAGCTTCCCTTTATGGGCTCAGGAATTGCAAATGTATTTAAATGTCGATCTTCTGTTTAAAAACAAAAAAAGACTTCATAGCACTGTAGGCACCGTTAGTAATAATTTATTATTAGATTTTAAAGAAAAATTCTGAGTTTTCAGAAATTCATATAATCTTTGAGTAAACAATGAAAAAGAAATTAATCATAGCACTGCAAAAGACAAAGGCAGACTTTACTCTCCTTTTGCTTTCTTCCCTCTCAAGACCTCCTTTGGTTTTCAGTTGAGTCCTAGAACCCAGGAATAGGGAAAAAGACAGACTAGGGGTTTGAAAGGAATAAACCCTCAGCAATGGCTGCCACTGAAACATTACTTCTTTCCTCAAATACACTTCCATGATTAAAACAGTAATTCCTCTTTGGGGGTGGGGGGGGTGTCAGGTTTCTCTTGCTTTTTCCCAACATTTGAACAAAAAGCAACCTCAGATCATGATCTAGCCCATGTACAAAATTATTTTTTTAAATAGCAGATCCAGAACCACCACAGTCCAATAATTTTATACTTCACTTTTAACAATCCCAAACCTTAACGAGGCTTTGACTTAAGCCCATCTGCAAATCCTGACACACCTTCCTCATTAAAGTTTTTTGGGATGACTAAGAAATATGAAATACACTGGTAAAAAGTATTTAATCTGGACAGTGTCTTATGTGCACTATACACGACAATGGCATATAGTGTCCCCTCCTCCACCTTTAAGAAAAAAAAAAATGAGAGAGACGCATGACAACAGACAAGTCTTTATGCTGATAATTTCTTATTGGTCCCTAGGGCATGTATACAAGTGTAACAGAAGAGACTTTAGCTAAGCCTTCATTTTAAAATACACTCACATCGCAGAAGAATCTCAACAATGAGTACTGGACAGTTCATACTTATTTCAAGTGTAATTTTAAGGATGTCTAAAAAATGATTCTGCATTGTAAGCATTGCTAAATTTATACTCAGGGTCCTGTGATATAGGAAGGTATTATACCTTTAAAAAGAATCGAAAACGAAGCAACTTTCAAGGCTCCAGAGCAAAAATAGCTCGAGTGATGTTGACACAGGCATCCTGTACTCTGGCCCTGGGGCAGTGAGGCAGTGGGTAATAAGCTTCGATTACTGAGTTCACTTTATTCAAATGCTAGATTTTTACGGGCAAGCGTATTATTATCTCACACTCACTGTAGTGCGAGGATTTTTTGTTTTGTTTTAAAAAGATGGACTGCAACTGATCTGACAAGTCAAGCTTGCTCCTCACCTCCCAGCCTCCGCCGGCAGTTTGATACGGATCCTTCAGCAACACAAGCGAGACCCTTTCTAAATCAGCAGAAAGGGAGACACTCTCCTGCACGTTCTTCTCGCTCATGAACATGCTTTCACCCCAAAATCCAGTGACCACATTACAACTTTTATCTGAAAAAATTTCAGGCTCTGCTTAGGCAAACAGATCCCAACCCTAGAGAACAGTACTTTATTTCAGGCAGATTACAAGGGCTTAAATATTGATTTAATCTATGCAGCTAAACACAGCAAGGTAAGGCACAAGACAAGCATCAGTGGCTGGTTGCCTCTCTACAGACACACTGTATTTCAGAAAGTTGCTAGTAATAAATGGGTAACAGCCAAATTCTAGGCAAATTTTCACTGGCAGTCTGACGCTTCCCATTAATGTTCTGCCACAAGATTTTCTTCTCAGCAGGCCTTTTGGAAAAGCATTAAATACAACGTGTTTAACACGGCCTGAATATTTTGTGACAGTGGGCAAACAAATTAGTGACAAGCACAAGTCAGAATGGCATGGAGGTTATAAAGGAAGGCCAAAAAAAAAAAGAGAGAAGTAAAAAACCTGCTGATTTTCATACCTTGCATCCTCAGGAGACTCAGCAATTAAGTGGTAGGTCCTATCACCCATTATTAGATCAATCCCGTTTTCTTTGCCCGTATTATCAACAATCTCTCTGAAAAGAAGAAAATGCCGAGATTGAGCATTAGAGATTGTCAACATTTTGAAAATTCTTCTGCTGAAAGGCTCACAAATGACTGATACTTAAAATAACTGCAGTCAGCCTTAATCAGGTTCATTTGCAAGACTCACAATGTGATTTATCAGACAATATTAATTCAACAAACTATAGTCGCCGTGTTTTCTGCCTATACAGTGCACATATTCAAACTATTATGAATGTCACTATGCCAAGTTGGCTATTCCGTTATCGTTTTAACGAGAACTAAACAAAAAGCATTATCAAGCCTCAAGAGAGGCAAGGATAACTGAGTTGAGAAATGGATCTATTTCCAAACTGACTGCATTCCCAAGTGATTTTTTGAGTGGTAAAAAGCAAGCTCTTGAAGATGAAATACAAAAAACAAAGAAAACCTAGATTAGTGACTCTGTGTGGTTGTGAGTCAGCATAAACACAATTCCAAACATGACTTCCAGAAAAAGCTGAGCACTCATCTGCTGAAAAATTACATTTTTCTAGCTTACAGTTTGGACATTTAAGTATATATTAAACAACCATGATCCACAAAGCACAAGTTTTTTAAGGAATAATTTAAGCATCAGGTTTTCCTGAAGCTTAAGAAATTGACTTGATTTCTTTTTTGCTGTTTTACTGTATTTGTCTGAAACTTATTTTCTTAACTAGCTGTACTTCCTTATCAGCTATACTATTCCCATAAATCTCTATCCTATAAACAATACATACAAGCTCTGCTTATCAGACCCATGAGGACAATTTATCTGCTATTAAAATAAAAAGCTGTAACTCTGTACTGTTTTCTTTAATTTAATTTCCTCCTCTCCCAATAACAGTGTCCAACAGAATACCTCCCTGTTCTGTGTTTTAGGAGAATCAGTCTAAGATGTATTTAATTTGAACAGGGTCCCTAATACGGAGTGGTGAAATACATAAGTTGCACACTGTATTAGGAATGCACTCAGTGAATATTAAAGTTACCTAGAAAAGCTATTGCTTATTTCGTGTGACATACAGCTCTTTAAATACAAGCATCATAGATTTCATAGATTTCTAGGTTGGAAAAGACCTTAGAGATCATCCAGTCCAGCCGTCCCTAATCTCCCATTAAACCATATCCTTAAGTAGTTCATCCACCCTATTCTTAAACACATCCAGGGATGGGGACGCAACCACCTCCCTGGGCAGCCTATTCCAGTGGCTGACAACCCTTTCAGAGAAGAAATACTTCCTAACATCCAACCTGAATCTCCCCTGACTAAGCTTATACCCATTTCCTCTTGTTCTATCACCCATCACTAATGTAAAGAGCCCCTCCCCTACCTCCCCACCATC